GAGGAAGAAGAAAAGCAAGAAGAAGAAGAGGAAGAAGAGGAAGAAGAGGAAGAAGGGAGGCAGGCAAGCGCGAAGGGGGCAGGGAGAACCACCGGGGAGAGCCCCCGGCCGCATACGTACGGACAAGCGCCTGCATGACCTCGATCTCGGCGGCTGTGCGCTCGGCATTCTCGCCATGCGGATCGACCTCCAGCGGCGGGGCCTCATACTGGTCGAAGGCGGCCTCGAGCCGGGCCTGGACCAGGCGCAGAACCTGGCGGAAGGCGGCCTGGGCGCTGGCCGCCTCCCGGTGGAGCCCCTGCCGGAGGAGGGCTTCCACCAGGAGGCGCTGCGACCGGCACGGGTCCCCGGCCGCCAGCAGCCCGGCGCAATCCCTCGCGATGGACACCAGCAGACGGGCCTCTTCGTAAGGGGACCCGGGGCGGCTGCGCAGGCGCGACCGAGCCGCCTTGCGCCGGCGCTTGCCCTCGGCCTTGACCGTGGCCCGGGTGGTGTTACTGCGCAGCGACCGGGAGGAGGCGCTCGAGTGGGAAAAGCCCGCGGCACTGGCGCTGGTGGTGGCGGTGCCGGCCTCGCTGACGGCGTCCTCATGGGCGAACCCGGCCCCGGGGCCGTCCCCCTCGCCATCGGCCAGGGCCAGGTACCGGTCCAGCGAGGCGGCCAGCTCCTGGGCATCGGCCTCCTGCTTGGCCCGGCGGTCGGCGCGGAGCCGGTCCACCCGGTCGAAGCGCTCGGTCAGGCTGTCCACCAGGTCGGCACAGTGCGACGTCAGGTCCTGCTCGGCGGCCAGGAGCCCGGGCTGCACATGCGTCACGAGCAAATCCGGGCGGTCGTATGCCGCGCACTGTGGTGCCGTTCGGGCGTTGTGGCGCGCGTGCGTGTGTGCAGGGGGGAATAGCCAGCCCGAGCCAGCCGGCCAGCCGCGTGGTGGCCCAAGGGAGGAGGGAGCGCGGTCAGTTGGGCCGGCCAAGTGGGCGGCAGGCCGCGTGCAAGGGTGTGGGCGCAACGTACCAGCTTCTCGGCCGCGGTCCAGAAGGACCCGGACACCAGCAGCTCGACCGCGCGCTCCAGATCGCCGAGTCCGTCGAGGGCGGCGGTCGCCGCGTCGATCAGGTTCCCGGCGGCCTGGAGGCGCTCGAGAGCACGCTCGGCCGCGTCGCGACGCCGGGCAACCACGCGAGCCAGGCCATCAGACTCCGGGGCCCGGTCGCGCCCGGCTGTCAGCGCGGCCGCGGTGAAGGCCCGCAGGCTGGCCGGGAAGGCGCCGGCCGCCGGGCGCTCATGCAGCCCGGCCATCCCCAGGAGGGCATCCGCCGGCAGGGTGTCCGCCAGCGGCAGGTCCAGCAGCGAGTGGATGTCAAGCGCCAGGGCATACTGCTCGGCGGCCGAGTCCAGGTGCCCGGCCAGCTCGAAGGCCACAGCCGCCTCGAGATGGTGCTGCGGCTGCTGCTGGCCCCCGGCGGCCAGGGCCCCGGCAAAGAGGACCAGCAGATCGGCCCGCTGGCCGGCCGGCCAAGTGCCCCACGCATCGGCGCCCGACGCCGCCGGGGCCACCGACGCCAGGAAGGTGCTCTTGCCCGGGAGCCCGGCCTGCCCGGAGAAGGGGGTCACCGGGACCTGGCCCACCGGGCACAGGAGCGCATGCCGGCGCAGGGCCTCCCGGTGGAGACCATGCGCATGGGCATATGCCGCCACTTCGGCCAGGCTGGCGGCCGGCTGCCCGGCCACCGAGGCCGCCAGGAACCCCAAGGCCCGGTCATGCCGGGCCAGATGGTGCTCCAGGCGGAAGGCCCGCGTCGGACCGGGCGGCACGGCCGCCACCGCCTGCAGCAGCGGCAGATACTCGCGCGGATCGTGCAGCGGGTCCAGCGGGGCCGCGCGCAGGGCCAGGTCCAGGTCATGCAGCCGCAGGGCCGCCGTGTAGAGGGCCCGCGGCCGGACCAGGGCCGCCGCATGGCGGAGCAGCCGCCCGGCCGCCTCGCCGCTGCGGGCCTGCACCACGCGCATGGCCTCATCCACATCGGCCGGGCGGCGGCGCATGAGCGCCGTCACCAGGGCCGCGTCGGCCTCCGGGGTGAGGTCCGCCCGGGCGCGCAGCACCGCCGCCACCTCGGTGCACACGGCGTTGATCTTGCCGGTGGCGGCCGGCTCCTGGTCCGGCGAGTCCCGGCGATACTCGTCCACGAGATCCGCCAGGAAGGCGCTCAGGACATCGGCCCCCGGGCCGGCGCCAGCACCGAGACGCGGCGCGGCCAGCAGCGCATCCACCACCCGGGCCATGTCGGCGAAGAATTGCTCCGGCCGGTGATCCACCAGGACATTCATGTCCACCCGGTGGCGCCGGGCCAGCGCCAGGGCCGGGCCATACTCCCGGGCGTCCAGCAGCCCCCGGATGCAGAAGAGCACCAGCGGCCGCGGGTGCACGGTTTCCAAATTGCCGCGGGGCATTTCCAGCAGGACCGTCACGCCGGCCGGCACGGCGGCCACCAGGCGGCCGCCGCGCTCGCAGAAGCGCGCGCTGGCCGCCGCGTCCGTCAGCCCGGCCCCGGCCCCGGCCCCGGCCCCGGCCAGCAGCACCGGCCCCAGGGGATCCGTGTCGTCCACGGCCGCCACCAGCTGCAGGGCCCCGGTCAGGGACATCGGCCCTGCCAGCGGCAGGACGCGCAGGCTGCCGGTGGTGGTCCACAGGAGGAAGGACCCGTGCACGGCCAGCGAGCTCACCTGCGAGGGGCTGCCGGCCGGCTGGGCCGAGGCCGCGGAGAAGAGCCCGGCGAAGGCGCCCCGCGCGGCCAGGGCATCCGGCTCGGCCGGGCCACTCAGCAGGCAGTCATTCAGATAGAGGGCCCCGAATTCCGACAGGGCCACCATGGCCAGGCCGTCGTCCTCGTCGTGGTCGTCGCCGCCGCCGCCGCCGGCCGCGGGCCGTTCGATCAGCTGCACCTGCGACAGGTGCCCCGGCAGACAGAGGAGCGGCACCACGGTGGCCGGCCCGGGGTCCGGGGCAACCAGCAACCCGGCCACCAGGCCCGAAGACAGGCACATGTAGGCCGTGCACCGGGGCAGGACGAAGGCCGCGTCGGACTGGAGGTCGCGCACCGGGGCGCCCGGCGCCTTGATGGCCGGGCGTGCCACCGGCGCCGCTACCAGCCGCGCCACCGACAGCCCGGGCGTGTTGGTCGAGAAGACCCGGCGCACGCTGTCGACGGAAAACTGCCGCCAGATGGGGGGGGGGG